GTGGTGGGAGTTGGGTGGAGCCCTTCAGTCTCAGATGGTGCAGGTGGTGGGAGTTGGGTGGAGCCCTTCAGTCTCAGATGGTGGGAGCTGGATGGAGCCCTTCAGTCTCAGATGGTGGAGGTGGTGGGAGTTGGGTGGAGCCCTTCAGTCTCAGATGGTGGGAGTTGGGTGGAGCCCTTCAGTCTCAGATGGTGGGAGCTTGGTGGAGCCCTTCAGTCTCAGGTGGTGGGAGCTGGGTGGACCCCTTCAGGCTCAGATGGTGGGAGCTTGGTGGAGCCCTTCAGTCTCAGATGGTGCAGGTGGTGGGAGTTGGGTGGAGCCCTTCAGTCTCAGATGGTGCAGGTGGTGGGAGTTGGGTGGAGCCCTTCAGTCTCAGATGGTGCAGGTGGTGGGAGTTGGGTGGAGCCCTTCAGTCTCAGATGGTGGAGGTGGTGGGAGCTGGGTGGAGCCCTTCAGTCTCAGATGGTGGAGGTGATGGGAGCTGGGTGGAGCCCTTCAGTTTAAGATGGTGGAGGTGGTGGGAGCTGGGTGGAGCCCTTCAGTCTCAGATGGTGCAGGTGGTGGGAGTTGGGTGGAGCCCTTCAGTCTCAGATGGTGGAGGTGGTGGGAGCTGGGTGGAGCCCTTCAGTCTCAGATGGTGCAGGTGGTGGGAGCTGGGTGGAGCCCTTCAGTCTCAGATGGTGGAGGTGGTGGGAGTTGGGTGGAGCCCTTCAGTCTCAGATGGTGCAGGTGGTGGGAGTTGGGTGGAGCCCTTCAGTCTCAGATGGTGGAGGTGGTGGGAGCTGGGTGGAGCCCTTCAGTCTCAGATGGTGGAGGTGGTGGGAGCCCTTCAGTCTCAGATGGTGCAGGTGGTGGGAGTTGGGCGGAGCTCTTCAGTCTCAGATGGTGGAGGTGATGGGAGTTGGGTGGAGCCCTTCAGTCTCAGATGGTGGGAGCTTGGTGGAGCCCTTCAGTCTCAGATGGTGCAGGTGGTGGGAGTTGGGTGAAGCCCTTCAGTCTCAGATGGTGGAGGTGGTGGGAGTTGGGTGGAGCCCTTCAGTCTCAGATGGTGCAAGTGGTGGGAGTTGGGTGGAGCCCTTCAGTCTCAGATGGTGGAGGTGGTGGGAGCTGGGTGGAGCCCTTCAGTCTCAGATGGTGGAGGTGGTGGGAGCCCTTCAGTCTCAGATGGTGCAGGTGGTGGGAGTTGGGCGGAGCTCTTCAGTCTCAGATGGTGGAGGTGATGGGAGTTGGGTGGAGCCCTTCAGTCTCAGATGGTGCAGGTGGTGGGAGCTGGGTGGAGACCTTCAGTCTCAGATGGTGCAGATGGTGGAAGTTGGGTGGAGCCCTTCAGTCTCAGATGGTGGAGGTGGTGGGAGCTGGGTGGAGCCCTTCAGTCTCAGATGGTGGAGGTGGTGGAAGCTTGGTGGAGCCCTTCAGTCTCAGATGGTGCAGGTGGTGGGAGTTGGGTGGAGCCCTTCAGTCTCAGATGGTGGAGGTGGTGGGAGCTGGGTGGAGCCCTTCAGTCTCAGATGGTGCAGGTGGTGGGAGCTGGGTGGAGCCCTTCAGTCTCAGATGGTGGAGGTGGTGGTAGCTGGGTGGAGCCCTTCAGTCTCAGATGGTGGAGGTGTTGGGAGCTGGGTGGGGCCCTTCAGGCTCAGATGGTGGAGGTGGTGGGATCTGGGTGGAGCCCTTCAGTCTCAGATGTTGGAGGTGGTGGAAGCTTGGTGGAGCCCTTCAGTCTCAGATGGTGCAGGTGGTGGGAGTTGGGTGGAGCCCTTCAGTCTCAGATGGTGAAGGTGGTGGGAGCTGGGTGGAGCCCTTCAGTCTCAGATGGTGGAGGTGGTGGGAGCTGGATGGAGCCCTTCAGTTTAAGATGGTGGAAGTGTTGGGAGCTGGGTGGAGCCTTTCAGTCTCAGATGGTGGGAGCTTGGTGGAGCCCTTCAGTCTCAGATGTTGGAGGTGGTGGGAGCTGGGTGGAACCTTCCAGTCTCAGATGGTGGAGGTGGTGGGAGTTGGGTGGAGCCCTTCACTATTAAAGACGGTTTCTGGGTTGACTGATGTGAGGACAGGGCCAAACTCCTGGGCTTTGTACCATTGCAGGATTCTTAACAACCATTATTTTCTACACCAAAGCCATCCAACTTTATTGCAGATACTGAGGGTCAAGTGAAATAACATTTTTTTATATTATTGTAATATGTCACTGATTCTTGAGGTTGATTGGCCAGTTTGTTGTTTGCTAAGAGACTGTGGCAATCATCATCAATTATTTCTTCGTAATATCACAAACTATTACTGCAATGATTACATGATAAATTTCTTTAGAGGGAAAACACATTTGTCTGCATTTCGATTTATTTAAATGCCCTACTCAAATCTTGCAATAATGAATTATCTGTACCCAGAGAGCCATCGTGATTGGTTTTGCCATCATGGCTTGCAAGTTTTTACCTCAATACTTGTAGAGATCTAAACAATGTGCTACGTGTATAGCACACTGAGAGTGTAGTGCAAGAATTTATGTGTTTTGTCTTCCAACTGACGCTGCACTGGCAGTGTTATGCTGTGAAGTACAACCCTATGTACAAATGGGTAGAAATAGATGTGACGGCCTTATATTGACTTCAAAGGTTTTTAATTTTAGATTTACCCTGAAATATTGCTGAAATAATATCAATGCCAGATTCTCTCATCTACATAAACTGTGGTCACTTGCCAAACAAAAACAACAAGAAACAGCAATCCAGCCAAGCATCATTATGACTTACGTTTATAATAAATTCTCATCTTCAAAGGCTTTCAGAAGAAAATTATGTTTTAAGTTGAAATAAACAAGAAATGGATGTGAAATGACACACGGCAGTTGTACTACTGAATGTCGAGGCTCTCAGACACATGGCTCTTCACATCTCTACTTCATCCACATTTACAAATGCTTCCCGCCCATTAACAGAGACGGCAGGACTCCAGAACAACTCAAGGATGGGGCCATTATGAGGTGAATGGAGATTTGGATGCTTCACCTTGGAACAAAATGGTTATATTCTTTCAAGTAGGGCATCTGGGGATGGTTAATGTGCTGGATGTTTTTGCTGAAGGGGAATGATATTTTATACTTAATCAGCATTGTTGAGGTTTTGAAAATCTGAACAAGGCAGAGAGGCTTGTTGGTGTAGTGATAGTGTACTACCTTATGGAGAGGCTTGGTGGTGCAGTGATAGTGTACTATCTGACAGAGAGGCTTGGTGGTGTAGTGATAGTGTACTACCTTATAGAGAGGCTTGGTGGTGTAGTGATAGTGTACTACCTTATAGAGAGGCTTGGTGGTGTAGTGATAGTGTACTACCTTACAGAGAGGCTTGGTAGTGTAGTGATAGTGTACTACCTTACAGAGAGGCTTGGTGGTGAAGTGATAGTGTTCCACGTTACAGAGAGGCTTGGTGGTGTAGTGATAGTGTACTACCTTATAGAGAGGCTTGGTGGTGTAGTGATAGTGTACTACCTTATGGAGAGGCTTGGTGGTGCAGTGATAGTGTACTACCTTACAGAGAGGCTTGGTAGTGTAGTGATAGTGTACTACCTGACAGAGAGGCTTGGTGGTGTAGTGATAGTGTACTACCTTACAGAGAGACTTGGTGGTGTAGTGATCAGTGCTTATAGTCAACAAGGCACCGTGATCAGTGCTTATAGTCAACCAGGCACCAGGATCAGTGCTTATAGTCAACCAGGCACCAGGATCAGTGCTTATAGTCAACCAGGCACTGTGATCAGTGCTTATAGTCAACCAGGTACCGTGATCAGTGCTAAAGGTCAGCCAGGCACTGTGATCAGTGCTTATAGTCAACCAGGCACCGTGATCAGTGCTTACAGTCAACCAAGCACCAGGATCAGTGCTTATAGTCAACCAGGCACTGTGATCAGTGCTTATAGTCAACCAGGCACCATGATCAGTGCTTATAGTCAACCAGGCACCATGATCGGTGCTTATAGTCACTGAGGCACCGTGATCAGTGCTTATAGTCAACCAGGCACTGTGATCAGTGCTTATAGTCAACCAGGCACCGTGATCAGTGCTTATAGTCAACCAGGCACCAGGATCAGTGCTTATAGTCAACCAGGCACTGTGATCAATGCTTATAGTCAACCAGGCACCTTAATCAGTTCTTATATACAACCAGGCACCATGATCAGTGCTAAAGGTCAACCAGGCACAGTGACCAGTGCTTATAGTCAACCAGGCACTGTGATCAGTGCTTATAACCAACCAGGCACAGTGATCAGTGCTTATAGTCAACCAGGCACCGTGATCAGTGCTTATAGTCAACCAGGCACTGTGATCAGTGCTTATAGTCAACCAGGCACCATGATCAGTGCTTATAGTCAACCAGGCACCACGATCAATGCTTATAGTCAACCAGGCACCTTGATCAGTGCTTATAGTCAACCAGGCACAGTGATCAATGCTTATAGTCAACCAGGCACTGTGATCAGTGCTTATAGTCAACCAGGCACCATGATCAGTGCTTATAGTCAACCAGGCACCATGATCAATGCTTATAGTCAACCAGGCACCTTGATCAGTGCTTATAGTCAACCAGGCACCTTGATCAGTGCTTATAGTCAACAAGGCACTGTGATCAGTGCTAATAGTCAACAAGGCATCGTGATCAGTGCTTATAGTCAACCAGGCACCGTGATCAGTGCTTATAGTCATCCAGGCACCTTGATCAGTGCTTATAGTCAATTAGGCACCGTGATCAGTGCTTATAGTCATCCAGGCACCTTGATCAGTGCTTATAGTCAATTAGGCACTGTGATCAGTGCTTATAGTCAACCAGGCACCGTGATCAGTGCTTATAGTCAACCAGGCACTGTGATCAGTGCTTATAGTCAACCAGGCACCATGATCAGTGCTTGTAGTCAACCAGGCACCATGATCAGTGCTTACAGTCAACCAAGCACCAGGATCAGTGCTTATAGTCAACCAGGCACTGATCAGTGCTCATAGTCAACCAGGCACCATGATCAGTGCTAAAGGTCAGCCAGGCACTGTGATCAGTGCTTATAGTCAGCCAGGCACTGAGATCAGTGCTTATAGTCAACCAGGCACCGTGATCAGTGCTTATAGTCAACCAGGCACTGTGATCAGTGCTTATAACCAACCAGGCACAGTGATCAGTGCTTATAGTCAACCAGGCACCGTGATCAGTGCTTATAGTCAACCAGGCACTGTGATCAGTGCTTATAGTCAACCAGGCACCATGATCAGTGCTTATAGTCAACCAGGCACCACGATCAATGCTAAAAGTCAACCAGGCACCGTGATCAGTGCTTATAGTCAACCAGGCACAGTGATCAGTGCTTATAGTCAACCAGGCACCGTGATCAGTGCTTATAGTCAACCAGGCACTGTGATCAGTGCTTATAGTCAACCAGGCACCGTGATCAGTGCTTATAGTCAACCAGGCACCACGATCAATGCTTATAGTCAACCAGGCACCGTGATCAGTGCTTATAGTCAACCAGGCACCGTGATCAATGCTTATAGTCAACCAGGCACTGTGATCAGTGCTTATAGTCAACCAGGCACCATGATCAGTGCTTATAGTCAACCAGGCACCATGATCAGTGCTTATAGTCAACCAGGCACTGTGATCAGTGCTTATAGTCAACCAGGCACCGTGATCAGTGCTTATAGTCAACCAGGCACCGTGATCAGTGCTTATAGTCAACCAGGCACCGTTATCAGTGCTTATAGTCAGCCAGGCACTGTGATCAGTGCTTATAGTCAACCAGGCACTGTGATCAGTGCTTATAGTCAACCAGGCACCGTGATCAGTGCTTATAGTCAACCAGGCACCATGATCAGTGCTTATAGTCAACCAGGCACCACGATCAATGCTAAAAGTCAACCAGGCACCGTGATCAGTGCTTATAGTCAGCCAGGCACTGAGATCAGTGCTTATAGTCAACCAGGCACCGTGATCAGTGCTTATAGTCAACCAGGCACTGTGATCAGTGCTTATAACCAACCAGGCACAGTGATCAGTGCTTATAGTCAACCAGGCACCGTGATCAGTGCTTATAGTCAACCAGGCACTGTGATCAGTGCTTATAGTCAACCAGGCACCATGATCAGTGCTTATAGTCAACCAGGCACCACGATCAATGCTAAAAGTCAACCAGGCACCGTGATCAGTGCTTATAGTCAACCAGGCACAGTGATCAGTGCTTATAGTCAACCAGGCACCGTGATCAGTGCTTATAGTCAACCAGGCACTGTGATCAGTGCTTATAGTCAACCAGGCACCGTGATCAGTGCTTATAGTCAACCAGGCACCACGATCAATGCTTATAGTCAACCAGGCACCGTGATCAGTGCTTATAGTCAACCAGGCACCGTGATCAATGCTTATAGTCAACCAGGCACTGTGATCAGTGCTTATAGTCAACCAGGCACCATGATCAGTGCTTATAGTCAACCAGGCACCATGATCAGTGCTTATAGTCAACCAGGCACTGTGATCAGTGCTTATAGTCAACCAGGCACCGTGATCAGTGCTTATAGTCAACCAGGCACCGTGATCAGTGCTTATAGTCAACCAGGCACCGTTATCAGTGCTTATAGTCAGCCAGGCACTGTGATCAGTGCTTATAGTCAACCAGGCACTGTGATCAGTGCTTATAGTCAACCAGGCACCGTGATCAGTGCTTATAGTCAACCAGGCACCATGATCAGTGCTTATAGTCAACCTGGCACCATGATCAGTGCTTATAGTCAACCAGGCACCATGATCAGTGCTCAAAGTCAACGAGGCACTGTGATCAGTGCTAATAGTCAACCAGGCACTGTGATCAGTGCTTATAGTCAACCAGGCACTGTGATCAGTGCTTATAATCAACCAGGCACTGTGATAAGTGCATATTGTCAAAGGCACCGTTATCAGTGCTTATAGTCAACCAGGCCCCGTGATCAGTGCCAAAGGTCAACCAGGCACTGTGATCAGTGCTAAAAGTCAACCAGGCACTGTGATCAGTGCTTATAATCAACCAGGCACTGTGATAAGTGCATATTGTCAAAGGCACCGTTATCAGTGCCAAAGGTCAACCAGGCACCATGATCAGTGCCAAAGGTCAACCAGGCACTGTGATCAGTGCTAAAAGTCAACCAGGCACTGTGATCAGTGCTAATAGTCAACCAGGCACTGTGATCAGTGCTTATAGTCAACCAGGCACTGTGATCAGTGCTTATAGTCAACCAGGCACCGTGATCAGTGCTAATAGTCAACCAGGCACCATGATCAGTGCTTATAGTCAACCAGGCACTGTGATCAGTGCTAAAGGTCAGCCAGGCACTGTGATCAGTGCTTATAGTCAGCCAGGCACTGTGATCAGTGCTTATAGTCAACCAGGCACCGTGATCAGTGCTTATAGTCAACCAGGCACCGTGATCAGTGCTTATAGTCAACCAGGCACCGTGATCAGTGCTTATAGTCAACCAGGCACTGTGATCAGTGCTTATAGTCAACCAGGCACCATGATCAGTGCTCAAAGTCAACGAGGCACTGTGATCAGTGCTAATAGTCAACCAGGCACTGTGATCAGTGCTTATAGTCAACAAGGCACTGTGATCAGTGCTTTTAGTCAACCAGGCACCGTGATCAGTGCTTATAGTCAACCAGGCACCGTGATCAGTGCTTATAGTCAACAAGGCATCGTGATCAGTGCTTATAGTCAACCAGGCACTGTGATCAGTGCTAATAGTCAACCAGGCACTGTGATCAGTGCTTATAGTCAACCAGGCACCATGATCAGTGCTTATAGTCAACCAGGCACCATGATCAGTGCTTACAGTCAACCAAGCACCAGGATCAGTGCTTATAGTCAACCAGGCACTGTGATCAGTGCTTATAGTCAACCAGGCACCGTGGTAAGTGCTAAAGGTCAGCCAGGCACTGTGATCAGTGCTTATAGTCAGCCAGGCACTGTGATCTGTGCTTATAGTCAACCAGGCACCGTGATCAGTGCTTATAGTCAACCAGGCACCGTGATCAGTGCATATTGTCAAAGGCACCGTGATCAGTGCTTATAGTCAACCAGGCACCGTGATCAGTGCTAAAGGTCAGCCAGGCACTGTGATCAGTGCTTATAGTCAGCCAGGCACTGTGATCAGTGCTTATAGTCAACCAGGCACCGTGATCAGTGCTTATAGTCAACCAGGCACCGTGATCAGTGCTTATAGTCAACCAGGCACCGTGATCAGTGCTTATAGTCACCCAGGCACCGTGATCAGTGCTTATAGTCAGCCAGGCACTGTGATCAGTGCTTTTAGTCAACCAGGCACTGTGATCAGTGCTTATAGTCAACCAGGCACTGTGATCAGTGCTTATAGTCAACCAGGCACCATGATCATTGCTCAAAGTCAACGAGGCACTGTGATCAGTGCTAATAGTCAACCAGGCACTGTGATCAGTGCTTGTAGTCAACCAGGCACTGTGATCAGTGCTTATAATCAACCAGGCACTGTGATAAGTGCATATTGTCAAAAGCACCGTTATCAGTGCCAAAGGTCAACCAGGCACTGTGATCAGTGCTTATAGTCAACCAGGCACTGTGATCAGTGCTTATAGTCAACCAGGCACCGTGATCAGTGCTTATAGTCAGCCAGGCACCGTGATCAGTGCTTATAGTCAACCAGGCACCGTGATCAGTGCTCAAAGTCAACGAGGCACTGTGATCAGTTCTAATAGTCAACCAGGCACCGTGATCAGTGCATATTGTCAAAGGCACCGTGATCAGTGCTTATAGTCAACCAGGCACCGTGATCAGTGCTTATAGTCAACCAGGCACCGTGATCAGTGCTCAAAGTCAACGAGGCACTGTGATCAGTGCTAATAGTCAACCAGGCACTGTGATCAGTGCATATTGTCAAAGGCACCGTTATCAGTGCCAAAGGTCAACCAGGCACCGTGATCAGTGCCAAAGGTCAACCAGGCACTGTGATCAGTGCTAAAAGTCAACTTTGGTGCCAAAGATGTTGCTGCAGAAATCTACTTTGTCATCTTTTCTCAGAATGTATTGTACCAGAAACTCTTAACACAATGCTGAGATGCAACAGTCCACCTTACAAGTTTTTTCTTTTCTCTGTAATCTATTAAACCGATTTTGCTTAAAACAATTTGACAACTTGTTCTGAGATAGGCTGTTGGCAAGATGGTGGAAGTACAATTAATTATATCAGTTGATAAGTCATGAGAACTCAAAATCACAAGATAACAGCTGCAAACTAAAGTGTGGGTAAATTTTCTCTTGAAGTGTGAATGTTTTATCACCAAACTTAGTGTATAACAACGAAAACAACTGTTTTTAGAAATATTGTTGAAAGTCTTTACAAATGTGGTCGTGCTTTCATCCTCAATATTAGGCAGAACATATCTGAATATCAAAAACATTTGTTATGTGTCTGTCTTTGTTGATATATTATAAACTGTTGACCAGTTATCCAAGGGAGCTACAGTGCCAGGGAACTTTTTATAAGAAATGGGAACATTTGTCAGTTCTGCCCTGAACACGGTTGAATATGTGTATGCTGAGCTTGGGTTGCTTGTGTGCCAGTGCCCTGTGAAATCTCACAGTGTTGGAAGTGAGGTTACCAGCACTCTGCAGCTCTGAGGCTCTGGATGCCAAGGATCACCACCAGCCATGTTGGATGCCTTTCCATGGTCACATGGCCTCCAATGAAGTGATGCGATAAAGTTGGATATTTCTCTATTTATGGCAATCAGAAAAAAAGAGTGATGTTGTTGTACAACATTGCTCTGTACATTCATCATTTTTGCACATTAAGAAACATTGTGTCCTTTGTGTACAGTGATATTGTATGCATTTATCAAATTGCTTAAAAATCGACACACCACATGGTCTAGAAGCTGGCGCCGCTGAGATATTTCTAGTATTATTATATGAATTCCATTTTTCAGTCAAATGACATATTGGTGTTGCCTCACATTAACATTTGACATCATGAAGTAATAAGGAAAACAATCAGCCCTCGTCTTTTACCAATTAGAATAAAGTTTTTATGCATTTTGCCACAAACTATTACATATTGATACTTATTGATTTGCAAACAAAATTTATCATCCAAAACTGGCTCCCACAGGAGATATCGCTTGGATTAGATCAAGCGATATCTACACTGTAGATATCGCTGCAATGAAATTACATCACAATGCTTTGCAGACCATTGTGACGTCACTGGTTAACATCACTAATGGCTCTGCTACTGAAGCTGTTAGCAGTACTTTTTACACTGAAGACACTGCTAATTACTGTCTACAAATTGAAAAAGTTGGAAAAATGATGTTGGATGATAAATAAAATCTCACCCTCGTGTCTTTTGATATCAAATATATCAACACTTGTTGATAAAAGTGGCAAAAATCCTCGGCAAGCCTCGGAATTTTTCCACTTTTATCAACTCATGTTGATATATTTGATATCAAAAGACACTCGGGTGAGATTCTCTATATCCCACTACATATTGTATTATATATATATTTTTTTTTTATGTGTAACCAACTAATTAAATGTGTATTTTTTCCCTACCTGAATCAGTACATGAAGAAAAAAGATATGTTGCTCTTTTAAATGAGATCCTCCTGAAAATTTTAAATAACTTGATAAGGAAGCTGTTAGAAATGGCTCCTGTTACCCATCTCCCCAGCATCAGCGACATGGGGTTAGTCAATCTTAATAATTCTGGAGAGAGGTTGGTCTGGCCAAAGATTGTGTCTCCATCATGCAGCGGGAGCTTCCACTGCTCAAGTGAAAGAACCTAATAGACCATGTGGAAGATTTAGGAGACATCAGTTGCTATCTCATCCTTATCTTGAAGGAGAATAAATAAGCCCAAATTTTTAATGTAATTTTTTCAGTGATACATTTTAGATGTCACAGTGGAGAGGTTTTTTTTTCTTCCATTAATCTAAAAAAAGGTGGTACCATTTAAGGTTATTCAGTTTTACTCCCATCTTGTTGAGCAGAACCGTACTGACGTGAGGGAGCCACATTTTCATGCAAAAGACAGGCTGCCATGAAGGACTGTAACAGAGGATGCCTTTATGTACAGGGACACAGTGGACTGCCTTTATGTACAGGGACACAGGGGACTGCCATCAGGGGATGCCTTTATGTACAGGGACACGGGGGACTGCCTTTATGTACAGGGACACAGGGGACTGCCATCAGGGGACTGCCTTTATGTACAGGGACACGGGGGACTGCCTTTATGTATAGGGACACAGTGGACTGCCTTTATGTACAGGGACACAGGGGACTGCCATCAAGAGACTGCCTTTATGTACAGGGACACAGGGAACTGTCTTTATGTACAGGGACACAGGGAACTGCCTTTATGTACAGGAACACAGTGGACTGCCTTAATGTACAGGGACACAGGGGACTGCCATCAAGGGATGCCTTTATGTACAGGGACACAGGGGACTGCCTTTATGTACAGGGGCACAGGGGACTGCCTTTATGTACAGGGACACAGGGAACTGCCATCAGGGGACTGCCTTTATGTACAGGGACACAGTGGACTGCCTTTATGTACAGGAACACAGTGGACTGCCTTTATGTACAGGGACACAGGGGACTGCCATCAAGGGATGCCTTTATGTACAGGGACACAGTGGACTGCCTTTATGTACAGGGGCACAGGGGACTGCCATCAGGGGACTTCCTTTATGTACAGGGACACAGTGGACTGCCTTTATGCACAGGGACACAGGGGACTGCCATCAGGGGACTGCCTTTATGTACAGGGGCACAGGGGACTGCCATCAGGGGACTGCCTTTATGTACAGGAACACAGGGGTCTGCCTTTATGTACAGGGATACAGGGGACTGCCTTTATGCACAGGGACACAGGGGACTGCCATCAGGGGACTGCCTTTATGTACAGGGGCACAGGGGACTGCCATCAAGAGACTGCCTTTATGTACAGGGACACAGAGGACTGCCATCAGGGGACTTCCTTTATGTACAGGGACACAGTGGACTGCCTTTATGCACAGGGACACAGGGGACTGCCATCAGGGGACTGCCTTTATGTACAGGAACACAGGGGTCTGCCTTTATGTACAGGGATACAGGGGACTGCCTTTATGTACAGGGACACAGTGGACTGCCTTTATGTACAGGGATACAGGGGACTGCCATCAGGGGACTGCCTTTATGTACAGGGACAAGGGGGACTGCCTTTATGTACATGGACACAGTGGACTGCCTTTATGTACAGGGACACAGGGGACTGCCATCAAGAATCTGCCTTTATGTACAGGGACACAGTGGACTGCCTTTATGTACAGGGACACAGTGGACTGCCTTTATGTACAGGGATACAGGGGACTGCCATCAGGGGACTGCCTTTATGTACAGGGACAAGGGGGACTGCCTTTATGTACAGGGACACAGGGGACTGCCATCAAGGGATGCCTTTATGTACAGGGACACAGTGGACTGCCTTTATGTACAGGGACACAGTGGACTGCCATCAGGGGACTGCCTTTATGTACAGGGACACAGGGGACTGCCTTTATGTACAGGGACACAAGGAACTGCCTTTATGTACAGGGACACAGGGGACTGCCATCAGGGGACTGCCTTTATGTACAGGGACACAGAGAACTGCCTTTATGTACAGGGACACAGGGGACTGCCATCAGGGGACTGCCTTTATGTACAGGAACACAGTGGACTGCCTTTATGTACAGGGACACAGGGGACTGCCATCAAGGGATGCCTTTATGTACAGGGACACAGGGGACTGCCTTTATGTACAGGGACATATGGGACTGCCATCAGGGGATGCCTTTATGTACAGGAACACAGTGGGCTGCCTTTATGTACAGGGACATATGGGACTGCCATCAGGGGACTGCCTTTATGTACAGGGACACAGGGAACTGCCTTTATGTACAGGGACACAGGGGACTGCCATCAGGGGACTGCCTTTATGTACAGGGACACGGGGGACTGCCTTTATGTACAGGGACACAGGGAACTGCCTTTATGTACAGGGACACGGGGGACTGCCTTTATGTACAGGGACACAGGGAACTGCCTTTATGTACAGGGACACAGGGGACTGCCATCAGGGGACTGCCTTTATGTACAGGAACACAGTGGACTGCCTTTATGTACAGAGACACAGGGGACTGCCATCAAGAGATGCCTTTATGTACAGGAACACAGTGGACTGCCTTTATGTACAGGGACACAGGGGACTGCCATCAAGAGACTGCCTTTATGTACAGGGACACAGTGGACTGCCTTTATGTACAGGGACACAGGGGACTGCCATCAGGGGACTGCCTTTATGTACAGGGACACAGGGGACTGCCTTTATGTACAGGGGCACAGGGGACTGCCTTTATGTACAGGGACACAGTGGACTGCCTTTATGTACAGGGACACAGGGGACTGCCATCAAGGGATGCCTTTATGTACAGGGACACAGGGGACTGCCTTTATGTACAGGGACACAGGGAACTGCCATCAGGGGACTGCCTTTATGTACAGGAACACAGTGGACTGCCTTTATGTACAGGGACACAGTGAACTGACATCAAGAGACTTCCTTTATGTACAGGGACAAAGTGAACTGCCTTTATGTACAGGGACACGGGACTGCCATCAAGGGACTTCCTTTATGTACAGGAACACAGGGGACTGCTTTTATGTACAGGGACACAGGGGACTGCCATCAAGAGACTGCCTTTATGTACAGGAACACAGTGGACTGCCTTTATGTACAGGGACACAGAAAACTGCCATCAAGAGACTGCCTTTATGTACAGGGACACAGGGGACTGCCATCAAGAGACTGCCTTTATGTACAGGGACACAGTGGACTGCCTTTATGTACAGGGACACAGGGAACTGCCATCAAGAGACTGCCTTTATGTACAGGAACACAGTGGACTGCCTTTATGTACAGGGACACAGTGAACTGACATCAAGAGACTTCCTTTATGTACAGGGACACAGTGGACTGCCTTTATGTACAGGGACACAGTGGACTGCCTTTATGTTCAGGGACACAGGGGACTGCCATCAAGGGACTTCCTTTATGTACAGGGACACAGGGAACTGCCATCAAGAGACTTCCTTTATGTACAGGGACACAGGGGACTGCCTTTATGTACAGGGATATAGGGGACTGCCTTTATGTACAGGGACACAGGGGACTGCCATTATGTAGAGGAACACACTGTAGCGCCATCAGGGGATGGCCATTATGTAGGGGAACACAGGGGACTGCCATTATTTCTTGGTTTACGGATGCGCCGCTCTTTCAAAGTAAAAAAAAGTCCCCAAAAAATGAAAATTACCCAATTTTTTTATTACAGCCCATCTTTTAGTCCAAAAGTTCAAATAAAAAAGATTTCATTTCCTCGTTGAGCATTAAAGCAAAGGGAAGTCACTCTGATCTTTCTTGTTGGGATCCTTCTCTAATACCATCAAAGCTTGTCAACGCAAAGCGCAGTGGTGACCAGTTTAATTCTTTCAACACTGTTGGCCGGTACAACGGCCAAGAAGCCACGAGTCACCAGACACCACAGGGGAGACCGTCCAAGTCACGTCTTGGCTCGGACACGATGTCT